CACTAGCAAAAACAATAATGTGTGGCTTTATTGAAGTCTTGTTGCTAATAAGTTATAGGCAAATAAGATAATCATAGAAATTTGGACAGATGTTACTGAAAAATTGCTGTGAATTGGACACCATTAAAGAGTCATTCTCACTGTAGGCTGTGGTGTTTGCTCAGTTTTCATGCTTTATGGTTTCCATTAGTCATACTTAATAAAGGAAGGAAGTGACATATTAGGTTTAGTTTAGTTCCAACTACTCTGCTGCATGGGGGTAAAGGAGAGAAGATACCTGACAGTCTCCCATCAGCTCAGAGATGGAGGCTGACTGTGGATCGGCTCGTTGGGATCACTTTCTTCATGTCACATGTTCCATAATGATCATAGAAGGCTTAAGAACTGTGTCCTGGAACCTGAGGCTGAAACAGACTCTACAGCCCCCCAGCACCAATCCCCCTGCAAGAAGTAGCTGCTGAATTCACTTGAGGATCTGTAGGTAAACCAAGTTGTACCATAGGGATAAGTACGTAATACTTGATAGAGAAGCAGAAATCCTGACTTAACTGCAGCTGCTTTGCTCGGAAAGCTGAGGCCTTGTGTTCTCTGCCTCTGAACTCAGCTGAATCACAGAATTTGTCACTGAACTGAAACTTTTGTGAATGTGCTTAAATGACTTTCCTACATACAGCTGTGCTCACCACAGGTACCCACTATACCTGGCCTTCAGCTAAAGCTTATCTCCTTCTGGTAATTTCTGTTCACCAATCTGGAAGATGACAAACCCGTTGTAAACCTCATCTCAGACTTTGGAGATCAGTCCTTTGTGTTCTACTCATGTCAGAAAAATTCCTTTCTTCTCCTGAGCTCCTGCTACTGTTGACTCAGTTTCCCCACAACCATACAGTGCTTGGTCTTGCTTCCTGACTAGCACAAGACTGCAGAGAAATGGGTAGAACAAGGTTCATTTGTGGAAATGATGCTAGTGGAACATGGAATGTGATGGGAGGACACAAGGCCTCGGACCGGGTGTCTTTGGGCCCAGAGCACACTGCTCACATCACCACAGGACAATGCAGCCTTGTGTCATCGCCATGAAAAATGATTCTATAAGAGGGGCTGTCACTGTCTCTGAGGAAAACCCTGGCTTCCCATGAACACGTTTTGTTTTACTGAAGACAACTCTCACACAGGGTCCCATGCTCAGATTTCCTTTCTCCTTCATGCAAAATTCTGTCTCTTCGTGGTAAAAGCCAAAGAATACACACAAAGATGCACACCACACACACACACACACACACACACACACAAAGGAAACCACTGTAAAGTAGATGAAGTTTTTTTATAAGTTGGCCCAACTTTATTGTAATCTGTTACAAAAGACAATTTAAATAAGAACCAGTTTCATTCATTTTAAGGTCATTAGAAATCTGAGTTAAATCTTACTACAGAAGAATAAAAATTACGTTAGATAAAACTGCAGAATGGAAACAAACAGTTCCTGTTAATCAATTGGGTTTTTATGACTACTTCTGAGTCTGTTGCAGTCAGAGGTGACTTGCCCACAGAGCTGGTAGCTGGCACACAGAAAATATAAATCTCCATGCCAGCAGTCACAGCAGAGACCTAGTCTGCGACACTCCTATGGCAAGACAAGGCCACAGCTGAGGACATTTGACTCTCTCTCCAATTCCAGGGCAGTAACTGCCAGCCCCAGAGATAAGAACTTCTGTTAATCATTAAGATTTACTGTCTAGAATGTCTTTGTTCTCACTTCTCAAGGCCTTTCTCAGTTTTGCACCTTCTAGGCTTAGCTCCTCTCTAGGCTTCTCTGCTCATTCCCCTCTCCCAGTAAACACTCACGATTCAGAGAACTCTTTGTCTTACCTCCAAGAGAGTTCTGACCATCCTAAATCTCCAAATCCATATAAGTTTTCTGTTCTTTTTCACCCTTCATCCATGCATTTGTTTTAGGAAATTTGAAGCCTGATCGGTTCCCGACATATCTAAATACAGTGAGCCTGAGAGGTTTGCAAGAGGGAGCTATGCTGGGAGAATGCAGGTAGTAGTGATATGTTTCAGTTTCCTAACCATGAAGTAGGCTCCCTAAAAGGTAACTTGGAAAAATGGACAGGGAGAAGGCTCATGAGAACGCAGCCAGTGGATGGGATTGTTAACCCTCTCCAGTAAACTCTGGAAAAATTTTAACATCATCTCGATTCATTTGTAGGAAAATGTGCATTGAAAGCTTAATACAAAATGAGTTAAAGCAGCAACATGCGTTCATATATAGCATAATTTTTCTTCCCAAGACGTAAATAAGTTAAAAAGCAAATAAAAGAGGGCACTGAGAAAGCTCTTTTGCAAATGGAAAGGAAGCCATGAGGTGGAGAGGGAGGGAGGGAACACAGGGGAAGAATTAAATTGTGTTTTGTACAAAATCCCACTCCCAGCGATGGAAGGAATCATGATGTATGGAAAACAAGTACTAGTAAAAATAATAGTTTCAAAATAGAAAAAGAGGGCCGGAGACAGCTCAGCAGCACAGCACCCTTTCAAAAGCGAGGTCGTGGGTTTGATTTCCAGAACCAAAAAAGAAAGAAAGAAGCACAGTAACAAAGAAGAGAGGACAGGAGACTAGGAGACAGAGGAGGCCTTCTGTTCCAGAAATTATACTAGGAGGAGGGTGAGAGACAAGGTAGCCAGGATGAAAACATGCACCCAGCCCGCACCCTACCTGGAGTTCCCAGTGCGCGCTATGTGAAGCAACCCAGAGATCACAGTGTGGCTGCGGGTGCAGCTCCGTGGCCGGTGCCTGTACAGCACGCGGGAGCCCTGAGTTCCATCCCCAGCAGCACCCACTCACAGCCCACCCCTGACACCGCTGCCCTGTGGCGACGTCGTGCAAAGACGCAGGACGTGAGGGTGACGATGTGGGGAAAGACACCTTCATAAGGGCTGAGGGAGTACGAAGTAACAGCCCGCATGGGAAACTGCAAGGAGAGCCAAAAAGCGCACAGAGCAGCCACGTGAGCCAGCAACGCCCCTAGCGGTGCAGACCAAAGGACCTGGAGCAGGAGTCCTGCAGGATGCCTCCATGCCCATGACCACTGACACACTAAGCACAGCGGCCCAGTGTGCACAAGCCTGAGTGTCAGCTGGCGACTGAGCAAAGCCTCGCACAGTGAGTGCGGTCTGTCCCTGGAAAGGGACCCTGACCACAGAGCAGAGGACAAAGCTGGACGGTGGAGACCAAAGACTGGAGAATGCCCTTCATGCATCTCGGGTTGCGGATCACAGAGAAGCAGCCAGCACAGCCCCACAGCGGACCCCGGGCAGCAGGAGGTGTGGGAGGCGCAGACTGCTGTGAGGACTCTAGAGCCGAGAGCCAGAGCGCAGCGCCGGCCAAAACCACACAGCGCTGGGAGCCAGGAGCCTGGAGCCAGGAGCTGCGAGCTTGTAGCTGTAAGCTGGGAGGGATCAGAGCCCTCGCCACCTCCTTCCCTGCCTCTGGGCGGGAGGCTGTGTCAGCCAGCGCACAGGAGCTCCCTGCCACGCCTGCGAGGGTCACTGCCCTTGGCACGAGCGCCTGTGTAACCAGCTTGCACGCGGAGAAGCTTCAGTGCACATCGTTTTTATTCGCGAAAATGCGAATGAATCCTCCAAGAGCAAAGACAAACTGCTCCCGCCCCGCGCAGCCGCTTCAGGCGCCCCAGAGCCGCCCCGCCCTGAGCTTGCACCAAATGCGCGGTTTACCCCGGCTCTGAGACGCCAGGCTGCCCAGGGGCTCTGGGACTGTGCGGCCGGGGACCCGGAGGACTCATTAGAGCAGCCCTGTCCTCCGTACCTCGGCACCGCTGTGTAGATGGTTGGGCGCAGAGCATGGCTCGGCTTCCACAAAGCGCCCACCGGACTCTTTCCACAACTTCCTCACCGCCTAGCTGCGGCTCCGCGCTGCAGATCCGGCCCTGCCTCTAAGCCAGGTTCTCTGTGCCTGCTGCAAAGTGAGCTGGCAGCCAGGAGCGCTGAGATGCCTGCTGTGACAAGCCACCATTCCCTCGCTGGCGCCTACTCTGGAGGCGTCCACGTGTGTTCCAACAAGCTGGGTGGAGGGCGTCTTCAGACTGGGTCCCTATGGGTCCATCATGGACCCAGGCAGCCGTCGCCCGGAGCCCTGGGAATGCAGCCCTGCATCCAGGACGCCATGATCCCTGAGCCACTGTCACCAGAGCACAGCGATCCCTATGATAAAAGGGGATCCGTGTGGTAAGTGTCAGCTGCAGGGCAGCCAGGGGCGTGAGCTTGGTACTTAACAGGGCAGTGTCGGTGCCAGGGCGGCCAGTCTGGAGCGTCTTTGGTAGAGCAAACCAGGTACCCTCAACCGCAGCAAAACCTCCTCCCTGGCTCTTCTTGTGGGTTGACCCTACTTCACCAGCTCAGGTGTTAGGTAGGAGTTCTCTAGGGACACAGCTGAGCCGGTTGCAGAGGAGTCGCTTTTGCGTGGTGTTTCCACTCCGTCCTGTGAGCCTTGGCACGCTCTTTCTCAGGCCGCCCTTCCCCGCATTTTTGCCAGGGAGCCACCCCAGCGCCCACCTCGCAGACTTAGGCCGGTGCCTTCTCTGCCTTGGTGTAAACAGAGCCCGGTGGAGGGGGCGCAAAGCTTGGAGACTGTCCTGAGCTGCCCAAGGATTAAACCTGTGGCTTGGGGAAAAAATAAAAAGAACCCTGATACAACAGCACGGCCTCCAGGGCTTTGCCCTGAGCAAGAAGACAAAAGCAAGAAGATGGGGCTGGCAGAATGGGAGGCTCCTGGGAATGTGTCTCTGACCTTCCTAGGACATCAGGACCACCCTCAGTCTGCCAAGTATTAGGCTTTAAAAAAAGAAAGAAAGAAAAGAAATATACCTGAGTGAGACTTGGTTTCCTAATGTTCTGACGCATTGGGGCAAAGCAGTTCCTAGTGTGTATTACACCTTCAGCTCCAGAGCAGGAGGCTTAGAGGTGGCTTCCCACACTTCTCAGTGAGCATTCTGGGCCTTCGCCCCACACCCATCCCTGCTCCTCAGCACAAAGGGACTGAGGACCGCATAACCAAGTTCTAGAAAGAATTTAACATAGAGGAGTGCAACTCCATGGGCCACCATGAACCCTAGGTAGAAGGAGAACATGAAATCTGTCCAAAAAAAGAAAAGGAAACAGGTCATGAGGACAAGAATATTTACAGTAGCTCTGATTTCTGGACTGGAACTCACCACCAACCTGGAGCTGTGCAGATAAAGCACACGCTTGTGATGCTCATACAGGCGGAAAGCCATGTGCCCGCTGCTCCAGCCCATGACACCCTGGAAGAGGACATCCCGCAGAGCCATGAGACAGAGGAAAAGCCACCGGACTGTGTGTCTGGATGCCAGCAAAAAACAGTGCCCACCATATGCTCGGCTTGTAGATCTGTTCACCCCACCAAGTGCTGTGACATAGAACAGCAAGTTGGAGCTTATGGGAAGATTAATGACCCAGCAGAGGAGAAGATAGGGAAGAACTTGCCATGCAGTCCATGGCTTGAGCTTTCCCCACAGGGTGGTGCTGGGACTGATGGTCATGGCCTGGACCACGCTGAGGAGACAGGTGCTGCAGATGGACAGGCCCCGGGCCACCCTCCCCAGGTAAACCACAGTTTTACAGCCAGCACTACCTAGGAAGTTTCTGAAACGGAAAACTGGGGCTATATCTCTAATCCCTGTGCTACAAATAATGATTGCATTTGAAAAAACCAGGTGAATGATGATAAAATCTATGGGTTTTTTCTCAGGACTCATTACAAAAGTATATACATATCTCACAAATAGAAAAGTGTTCCCCCAAATCCCAAGTCCAGTAAGAGAAAAGAAGATTATTCTCTGCAAGAGGTCAATGCAAAGCATTACTCCCTTCACCAAAAGGGATCAGAAAAACCATTTGAAGAAGCAGATAAGTAAAAGTGACATCTTTCACATGTGTAAGTTTTCTCTATTTAGTTAGGAGAACAATTCTGAGATGTTTAAATGTGTGTGGTTCTTCCGAGCAGGCGACAGGTCTCCTTCCTTGTTTTATCTTCCTTTATGGTGATAGCTGGAACTTAAACATAGATCCCATGCTAATTCATCTGCCGGCCTTTCCAAAAGGCTTTCTCGGTATTCCTCATCTCAAAAACTTACACAGTTCTTTTATTTCAAGAAGATCTAAGGAAAGAGAAAATCACATAATTTCTAAGCCATGACCTGAGTAACAGCTTGCATATCTTGTTTTTCCCTCTTCTCCCACAATCATCAGTCATCACACGGCTGAAGGACACATTCCCACAGAAGGTGACAGGAGACTGCAGCGGGTGAGTGCTCCCCTACATCCATCCAGAAACGCCACTGAGGCCCAGGACTCCTCTTCCTCCCTCTCCACTAACTAAGGAGCTCTGAGCACAGTGCATCAGATGCAGGGTTCTAGGGCGCTCCCCGGTACACAGTGAGAAAGAGGGCTCGAGGTGACACCTGCCAAAGGATGAGTCCTCTTCTCCCTGTGTCCTGCCTCTTCCACAGCAGCCAGGGCTCTCAGCCTGGTCTCTCCAGCTCCTGTCCCTGCCCAGCCCTGCCTCCAGCAGCTCCCCTTCCTCAGCTAAGGCAGCTGCATGCCTCAGAGTCAGGAACGCTCATCTGTGCAGTCTGTGCTGCAGGCTCAGGGTGAAGTCTGCAGAGCAGTGAGGCCAGGCCCTGGTTTTCCCTCTTGAGTCCCAGGGCTCCTGGCCCACTCTCTGTGCTGTCAAGATGTCAGCGTCCCAAGCCTGTGCTTCACCAGAGGAAAGGGCTCATTCTCCTCCATCTCCATCCCTGGGGCTCTGCCTGCTCCCTGTTGCCTCTGAGTTGTTGAGCCCAGAAACTTTTTGATGTTAATTATAATAAATTTACAGTAGTGTGTGGGAGGCACCATAATAGTGCAGAGTTGACTGAGGTCTCCAAACACCATGGAACTTGGTAGCCTCATTCCTTTCCATCCAGGCATCATCAAACCGAGGAACCATTTAGGAGGAAACATTTGGAGTCATAGTTTAATTCCTGAACATTTTCCAAATATGTTCTACATAGACCATAAAACATCCAGTTCTGCCATCATGGCTGCCTGTGGGGTGCAGGTCTGGAGCACGGCAGCTGGGGACTCCCTGGGAGCTGGGGTAGTGTGTCCACACCTGGCTGCTGGCTGTGAACGTTGTTCAGTGCATGCACCTCAAAAGGGTTCACATGGGGTTTCTGTACTTCCTCACCCTCATCTTCAGTCCACTGTTCAGCACTATAAGACGTGGGGCTAACAAAGAGCACTACAAATAATAACTGGACCAATTCTTTGATAATGTCAATTTCTAGCAGTTCTTATGTCGAGCTGTCCATATTGTCTTCTTACTATTGGCTGCCTATAATTTACTGAAAACAAGAACTCAACAAAATCCAAAAAGTGCTCTTTTCTAATGCATCTCTGTTCTCCTAAAAATCACAAGCCTTTTTTTAAAAACCTCATTCCTTAATTTGTAACTATTAAGCTCCTTCTTCAATTTGATCTTTAAATTCTAAATTTTATTCATTCCCATGTGGCCACTAAATATGCTGTTATTTCTCATATTTCAAAACAAAATACATAGGATTTTTAAGCTTGATTGAATTAGGTGTGACACTTCCCTCTGGATGTATTGTAATACAAACATTTTAATATCATAATCCAAATATTGTAATCCCTTTTCTGCATGCCTCATAATCTCAAAAGTTATATTTGTAGCCCCATAGAAAGATTATTGGAGTCTCAGATCATTAATTCTAATCTGCCATCTGCAGTGCAACCCATGGTGAAAGACACCAAGATATATTCACACTTATGGGCAGGCAAGGGGTACTAAGTCCAATCCAAGTGGGGATATACCGACAAAAGCCTTGACCCAAGATCACTCCCTGAATTTACTATCTCGTGAAGAAGGGAGTGGTTTGAGGATGAGTGACAGTGAGGATGGTGGGAATTGTGTGAGCAAGGGGAGCTGAGCTGGACAGACAGAGAGCAAGCACCTCTGTGATCTGCAGGGAGAAGGATATGCAGAGAGACCTGCGTGCATGACTCCATTGGGATAGCACATAATGAATTTAGGAGGCTGTTGCTTTAGTTTATGATGTGTAAATTTTTGTACCCTCAGAGGTCATGGCCCTTTATTTTGAGGCTCTTCCCAGTTGACATTCCTGGAGCTGACTGGCTCTGCCATCCTACTTTGTCCAAGATGATGTGATGAAGCAGGAAACTGTCAGGTGGCCTTAAAGATTACTTATAGTACCTCAGCCTTATTTGCATTGCTTAGAGCCCATTGAAGGGAAAGGAAACAGCACAGCCACCCCTGCACACATCAGTACATGGAGACGGTGTAAATAATGCAGAAGCAGCAGTTCTGCATTCAAAGAGAGCTGTCTACTTGGTCTTCTAAACGGATGCACTTGAAATTTTCCACTAGTGGCATATGAAGCAGGTCATCCAGTTATCAAGACTCTGGGACATTCTGTACATTCTATGGAGATGAGAAAATCCTGGAATCAATTTTAGAGAAAGGTAAGATTTAGAGATAATTCAGAGAGAGTTCCTAGATTGCTTGTGAATCTAAATAAATACGTAAGTAAATGTTATTGAAATCTCAGATAATTAATATGATGCAATGGGTTAGGATGCAAAATGAACAAACAGGTTAACATGGAAACATTAACCTGAGATTATGATTTCAAACCTTCATTTGAAGGGCTGAAAATTTCCAAGTTCCACCAGCTGGTCCTACAGCAGAAAATTCTCCCCCATCCCCATCTCCAGCCAGTATTACTTCAGTGTGTGTTAATTGTCCAGGTAGCCTCCAGTTTACTTCTGTTCCTGTTAAAGTTCCTCTTGCTTCTGGTCACTGTGATGCACAGCTGGTCACTGTGACACTCATTGTAAGAGCCAGTCAATAACCACCCAATATCCTGCTTCTGTATGTTCTGCTTGCCTGCCCCCTAGAAGCCTCAGACCACCAAGGATCAGGGCCTGCCAATTTTTTCTTGAACGAGACCCCAACATTACATAAACCTACCTGAAATCCTAGGTGAGGGGTCAGAGTTTCCATTTGCAGTTTCATCCTGACCCAAATTGGCCTGTACTTAAGTAAACTGAAGTGTCTGGCCTCCACAGTGAGGCTACAGGAAATTATTCAAACCCTGAAAAACCAGGGAATGAAGGAGACAGTTTCCCATGTGAAACCTGATCCTTCTTATCAGCACAAGGAGCAGCTGCCTTTCACCTGAGCTGGGGAAACCCCCACCCCCAGAGAGGTTTTGCACCTGGAAGGGCTGTCTTTCAGAGCTTCCCTACAGCAACTGGAACCCTAAATGTGTGGCAGAACTTGGCTAGAGGTAACCCAGAACAAGCTGCAGGATTCAAACCCCACAGACACGCTGCTATGGACCAGGTCACAGCCCGCCAGGAGCAAGGCCCGGCCCGTAGAAACCTCCCATCTTCACCTGGGGACCACCTAGTCTGGTGTCTGTGGAACTGAAACAGAGGAGTGCTGTGGAAGCCCCGCCATCCTCCTGCATAAGGAGAAGAGTGCAGATCCAAGGAACAGAAGTCTGACCGAAGCACCTGAACTGATCCTCTCTCAGGACCCTGGTCCGAGCCAATGCACCGTCCCCTAACCAGTCCTGCAGGGAGCCAAGATACCCTGTGGGTGCAGCCACCCAGGCCGCAGATGCTGGAGATGTGCAGCCACACACTAGGCCATGTGCAAGGACGTGGGGACCAGCTCTGAGCACAAGTGCTGCAGGGCTGCGAGATCCCTGTGCTCCCTGTCAGCAGAGGGGTGCTCGGTGGATCTGGGGAGCCTCCTTGGGGCTCACTGGAAACTCAACCTTATTTCAGACCTTTGTTCCCTTAGTGATCCGTCCCACGGATCAGTCCGTGGGCCTTTGCCTGGAGAGGGGAACGGTGATGAAGGGCAGGGCAAGAGAAAAGAGAGACGGAGGCTTGGTGGGATTCCATTCAAGCCTCGTTTATTTTAAAATGGCTACAACTTATATAGGGTGCAGGCAGGCCAATGGGGCAGGAAGAGGGCCCAGAGTGTTATCTGATAGGTCATCGTCACATCTGGATATATGACGTAAGCAGGAGAGGATTATGGGTAATTGACTTAGTTACTTTTTACTCATTGCTGAGACAAAATATCTGAAGCCCAAAGTTGGGAAAGGAAAGGTTTATTTCTTACAGTTTTTGGAGGTTTTAGTCCACACGCAGTTGGCTCCAAGACAGGCGGGCATGGCTGGACTGCCGTTCATGGCAGCTGCAAATGGCAAGCTAAAACCAGCAAAGAGAAAGACACACCTTCGTCCTTTCATTACATCACATCCTGGCTCCACCCCTATGTGGGTGGAGCACTGACACAATCAACCCAAGCACTAGACAATGAACGAATAACAAATGCACAATTCAAACTCTTGAGGGCTGGGGGACACAGACATAAACCATGGCATTCCACCTCTGGCCCCCAGGACTCATGTACATCCTTTATACAAAAGACATTCAGTCCACCTCCAAGAATTGCCAAAGTCCTAACAGCTTTAGCATTTCCCAACAGTCCAAGTCCCAAGTCTCCTCCAAGGTCTATGGCAAACTCTTAACTGTAGCCCCTTTACAAATGAAACAAGGTTAAACATTTCTGAAATGCAAATGCACAAGATAAACATTACCATTCCAAAAGTTATGAACAGGGAAATATAAAGCATTGGAAACAAGGCAAGTCCAACATCCAGCAGGACAAACATTAAGTCCTAGAGTTCCATCCTCAGCATCTGAAGCAATCTGGTTGCAAGCTCCAAAAGGCTTGGGTGATTCCAACCCCATGGCATTT